AAATGATAAGCCTTGAAACAGCACAAAAAGGTACCCTGCCTCTCGTTTACAGGTTTAATTTAGAATAAATACAGTCAGGTCAACTGTGGTTTCAATGATCTCTTGTGTCACACAGCCCAGAAAACGTCTTCACCTGTTCCCAAACATTATCTCGGAATGTTGGAGTACAACCTAGAGGATGAATCTCGACTCATTCAAAACCTTATTTTAGGTATTTTCCTTTATTATCATTTTTTTAATTTATTTTTATGAATTATCTATAAGAGACCGATGCATTTATGAATTGCATCACTATAATCACATCGCAGAAATAAACACGGTGATGTCATGTGAATAGTGGTACCTGGAAGTCCTGTCAGAAAAATAACGTCAGCATCGAAAAACAAGAGACAAGATTTTCATTTCGTTGCTGAGACCCACAAAAGTCCGATTGACTGTGGCAAACCAACCAAAAACTGGACCTCACCAATGTGCACATTTTAGTTTTCATTCATTCGTCACCCGCCAAACTTGAAAACGCGATCGCACATTCTTGTCTCTTGCAGACCTGAAGCCCAAAGGTGTGGCGGTCAACATGATTCCTGTCTTGCCAGCTTACATTCTCTTCATGTGCATACGCCATGCTGACTACATGAACAACGAAGACAAACTCCGGTCTTTTATGAATGCGACTATTAGTGCTGTCAAAAAGGTCACCATGGTGAGTTTGAAGTGTGCTCTTTTCGATTCTGATCTACTCTGTCAAATATATGTTTATCGATTCATTGCACAATTTTAGCTTTCCCTTACAGTTGTTGGACAACATATTGTGTGCTGTATTGTCATGATGCAAGACTTACTATGGAGAAGCCAGTGAATAAAAGTATAAACTGAATGTTCCCATTTCAGACTCACCAGAATGACTTGGCCTTATTGTCCTTCTGGCTGTCCAACATGTATCAGTTGCTCAACTGTCTTAAGCAGTACAGCGGAGAAGTGGTAAAGGAGCACTTTTTGTTAACCGTATTACAGATAACTGCAGATCTGCTTCACCTCAGACCTCATATCTCATATTTTGTTGTGCACAAAAGGAGTTCAGCAAGCACAGTACCGCCCGTCAGGTGAACAACTGCTTGCAGAACTTTGATTTGTCAGACCATCAGCAGGTTGTCAGCGACTTGGCTATCTGCATCTACCACCAGTTCATCGCCGCCATGGAAAGAGCTCTCACCCCTGCGATTGGTATGTGACAAAGCAAAAAAAAAAAAAAAACAAAAATAAATTTTGTGTATTAATTCGTACTACTAACTGTGCTTCTCCCCGCAGTGCCCGGTATGTTGGAGCATGAAAGCTTGCAGGGCATTTCCAGCATGAAACTAAGGGGCTTCCTTAAACGTTCTCGCAAAAACAACGATGACATGGAAACCTACACCATCTCCTTCATCATTCAGCGACTCTCTCACTTCCACAGCAACATGACACAGCACGGCACCGAGCCGCATCTCATTAAACAGGTGGTCAAGCAACTGCTCTTCCACATCGGGGCGACCACCCTCAACAACCTGCTACTGCGTAAAGACATGTGTTCCTGCAGAAAAGGAATGCAAATCAGGTTTGTGTTTGTGTATGTGCAGGAGATTTGCGTGAAATGTTCATCATGATAAATTCATAACTGGATGTTTGTCCATGCACTGCGGCGGTCGCATGCTCAAAGCTCTGCTACTACGAGACTCTCCACACACAACGCAGAAATGCTGCATCACACTTTGTAAACTAGGGCTGAGCAAGTAATCAAATTCAAATCCATATCGCAATGTAGCGGAATGCAATTTTCAAATTGCAAAGGCTGCAAATGGGGTAAAAAAAATGGGCCTCATTTCCGCTGATAGGCTTTCAATTTTATTTCCATTTATAATTTATTATTTATATAATAATATCTACACTTACACAACTTAAGTTTATTTATAGAGCACTTGAAGAAAAAAAAACCCACCCTTGAAACAAAATGCAGTACATCAAATCCAAACAAACATACAACAAATTAACATAATAATATTTGGAAACGGGCGGCTTGTTGGGTCAGTGGTTAGCGCGTCGACCTCACAGTGCAGAGGTACTGGGTTCGATTCCAGCTCCGGCCTTCCTGCGGGGAGTTTGCATGTTCTCCCCGTGCCTGCGTGGGTTTTCTCTGGGTACTCCGGTTTCCTCCCACATTCCAAAAACATTCATGACAGGCAGATTGAACACTCAAAATTGTTCCTGGGTGTGAGTGTGCGCGCGGATGGTTGTTCGTCTGTGTGTGCCCTGCGATTGGCTGGCAACTGGTTCAGGGTGTCCCCCGCCTAATGCCCGAAGACAGCTGGGATAGGCTCCAGCATGCCCTGCGGCGTGAAGATAAGCGGATCAGAAAATGGATGGATGGATGGATATTTGGAAACAATAAAAGAGTAAAAAAACAAATTACACACTCACCCAAGAGTAGATAGAGTCTGAAAGTGTGTTTATAGCTAAGGAATAAATATGTGTTGTAAGCCAGGTTTTTAAAATTCTCACAAGAACAGGCTGCTGTGTGCCCCAACTACTGTAAGTGTGAAAGCAATTGTGCTCTTCCAGATGCAACATCAGCTACCTGGAAGAGTGGCTTCAGGAGAAAGACTTCCAGAGTTGTCATTTTATCGACACTCTGAAGCCCTTGATCGAGGCCGCCTGGCTGCTGCAGGTCAGCAAGTCCACAGATGACGACGCTAAGGCCATCACAGAGAAATGCACTGAGCTCAACACAGTTCAGGTATACCATCCAGTTCCGTTCAAGTTTGTCAAACGCGAATGAGTCAATTGAATATTTTCTCACAGATCGTCAAGATTCTGAATTCATACACACCCGTCGACCTTTTTGAGAAGAGGGTGGCGTCGTCATTTGTGCGCAAAGTTCAGGTGGGCTCCCATCTCGCGACTTTAAAACGACTGATGTCACGCCCTGGACGCTGGATCTGAAAAGTCTAAATGTCCTCCTTGTTACAGTCACTTCGACAAGATCACGACAGCGCTGCGCAGCTGATGATGGATGCACATTATCGTTTCCCCGTTACGTTTCCTTTCTGCGTGTCCTCGCAGGCTTTGGAGCTGCTGCAGGTTCCCAGTAGCCTTCACCTGGAATTCCTAACCATGATCTGACCAAGGGAGGCCCGGTGGTCGAGTGTTTAGCGCGTCGACCTGACAGTGCAGAGGTTGTGGGGTTGATCCTGGCTTCGGCCTTCCTGTGTGGAGTTTGCATGTTCTCCTCGGGCCTGCATGGGTTTTCTCCGGTTTACTCCGGTTTCCTCCCACATTCCAAAAACATGCATGTCAGGCTGATTGAACACTCTAAATTCCCCTGAGGTGTGAGTGTGAGCAAAGATGGTTGATTGTCTCTGTGTGCCCTGCGTTTGGCTGACAACCGGTTCAGGATTTCCCCGCCCACTGCCGGAAGACGGCTGGGATACGCTACAGCACCCCCGCGACCCTTGTGAGGATAAAGCGAATCAGAAAATGGATGGATGGATGGATCTGACCCAGAGAGACTTTCAACTTTGTATTCTTAGGCCGAACCTTTAATTACATGGCTTCTGGATATTTGTCATCTGTTTGTATTGTAGGAAATACTGTATATACTAATCACAAAAAAATTGAGACACAAGATTGGACTTTGGATGCAATTTAAGGATGAACCTGAAATATCACTTGTACAGGTGAACGTAATTTGACATGTTTTAAATCCACCTGTTGAAATGTTTCAGAATTTTTGCACAACTTGCTGTTCTCAGACAAGGAGCTGAATCACAAAATTCACACCAGGTGTTTGATTCAGTAATTGACCGATGAAGTTCGAAGAACGTCCACTTCTATGCCGACATCTGAGACTCTTCCAGTCTCCCTGCAAGTATTTTGATGCATGTTCTTTGAAAGTGCAATATTTGTCTCTCAGTAATATGCAATTTACTGGATATGATTCTTAATGGATTTATTATAAATCAATTCCCTGCATGTTACAAGACTTTGCATATAGATGACAGCATGAAACAGAAGCACATCAGCACAGTCAAATGAGATCCAGTTGTCCTATCTTAGTTGTATCAAAATGATAATTATGAAGAGCAAACAATGTTAACCCTATAAGCGATGAATATTTGATCCTAAATGGTGGAGCAGCATATGTAAGCAGACAATATAACACTATGCACCGGCATATATTATTTATCTTTTGTGAAAAATGACAAATATTACTGCAGCATACTGTATCAATTGTGAAACTCATCTTCACGTGTGTCTTTATGCCTGTATTATACTGTCCCCAGGTGGCCAAGGTTTGTACACACCTGAAAGAGCAGCACAATCTTCATTGAATATAAGCTAAAACTGTTGAATTTGTTACATCCCATTTGCTTATGTTATACCACTTGTATTTTAAGCCACCGTAGTATTTACAGTATCTAAATCAAGTAATTACTTAATGAAATAAAATGAGAATAAAATAAATGACCAATATTAAGGGGAAAGTAGCTAAATGATTCCAACAAATGTGACAAGACTGTACTCTTAATAATAATGTAAATGATCAATTGCACCGGTCAACAGCAAATTTTATGTATCCCTAAATGTGTTTTTGACCCCGATTTAAAAAAAAAAAATTTAAAAAAAGCTTTCCTTTTTTTGTTGATAAGTATAGCACGACATCCAACCTGGCATTCTGAAGCATTTCATTGAAGGGTAACATATATACAGACGGAACAAAGGGGCTCCAAGGATTGACTCTTGAGGGACCCCACATGTCATGGCCATCCGATCAGATTCGAAACTTCCCATCATATCACAAATTATTTCTTTCCTCCAAATATGACCTCCACCATTTTTGGACTTTTCCATTTAACCCTACCCAAATTTTCATGATGATGATGATGATGATGAAGATGAAAATGAAAACTTTATGAGGGCAGATTCAGAATCGGGGGGGGGGGTTACTTTAATCTCTGGCGAAAAAAAAATTGCATACATTTCCTGGTCTCGCGCTGCATAACATTGTAGTTGTGTACCTGAAGCTTCATTGAACATTACGAAGTGCTAAAGAACGACATTTAACTCATCTTGGATTTCATTCAGCCTGTTGAGAATGCATCCTTGCGGGAGCTTCCATCCCTCTTTTTCCTCCTCTCTCCGATCCTCCTATTAACTACAGCATCCTCCCCCGACCTCCTTCTTCTCCTCATCCCGGAGATTGGACCACAGTACCGTGTAGCGTCTTGGCGCTGTGACGTCACGAGAACAGCATCAGCTGTTAGCTTTGTGTGTGTGTGTGTGTCTCTGTGTCTGTGTGTGTGTCTGTGTGCGTGTGTGTGTGCGCGCTACTGCTTTAAGCCTTTTCGCTGCCCATCGCGGCCCCGCATAAAGTATAAATATATGAGATCCCCTCTGCTCCTTGAAATGGCGACACAGGAGGTACAGCTTAACGAGACTCTGGTGCATCTGAAAACCGAGTCGGAGTCGCTCAAGTCGAAGCTGGAGGAGGAAAGAGCCAAGCTGCACGACGTCGAGCGTGAGTACGGAAAATGGAGAGGCCGCTCGCCATTCACCCGAGCGCCGACAAATCAGAGCGGATGTTTGTTTTTCTGCATCTAAAACACCAGCGTAGTCGTTTTTTACATCAGGCAGTGAGCGGTATTTTCTTCTCTTGGGCTCGGCGTGTCCTGACATTGAACAGGCTCGGTTTGTTTTTGCTGCTTCCCTATTTGTCGAGCTCTGTGCTTCCATGCATCTGCATGACACTCTTGTAGCATCCAAACATCCCTTCTGCAGCGTAGCAACAACCTCAACGTTCGAGAGGAAGATATCAAAACATGTATTTGGATTACATCATGTTGCATGGGAGATGCTTTTTGAAGACATGGGCTGGTTAGAGCAAAAAAAAAAAAAAAAAAACAAAAACTGATTAGGCAACGCATTTATCCATTAGATGCAGGCCTAACGCAGTTTAATCCTACACTGGATGATAATCAGTACTGTAGTAGATTTAATGTACTGTAATACACAATCAGTGTGAATGTGTTTGTGTTCAGTGCATCAAGTGGCCGAGAAGGTGGAAGGCCTGGGCCAGTTTGTCATGAAGACACGAAGAACTCTGAAAGGACATGGCAACAAAGTTCTGTGCATGGACTGGTGTAAGGACAAGAGGAGGATCGTCAGCTCTTCACAGGTCACTCAAAAACACACACACACGCCTGTGCTGCTCATTTGCACTGATAGATCATCAGAATTGCTGCAAAGAATTTTCCAGTTTTGCATAATTGGGCCAAGATTCCACATTACAAAGAAGTGGCACAAGTACTCACTAACTGTACTTTAGTACAACAACAGATACTTGGCTAAAAAATAAAAAAAAACACTGGTAACACTAGAAGTACTTATTCGTCTCCTTTACTTACCTTAAGTAAAAGTAAATTTGTACATACTCCACAATGGTACTGACTCAGAGTTAAGAGCAGGTCATGCAGTAACCGGATTGTCCACTGTTTGATTCCCACTCTCTCCGAGTCAGGTACTGTTGTGTCCTTGAGCACTTCACCACTCACACTTGTGTATACTCGGGTGTGAATGCGTGGTGGTGGTCGAAGGCGCCGTAGGTGCATGCTGGCAGCCACACTTCCACCAGCCTCCCTCAAAGCAGATGTGGCAAAACAATGTAGTTTACAGTCACCAGAGTGTGAATGCATGAGTGCATGAATAATGTAAGTAATGTGAGCGCTTTGTGTGTCCGGTTGTGCATATAAATTTGATGCATTATAATAATAATTATTATTATTATTATTATTGTTCTAAGGTACAAACGAAACTATTTTTTTTTCTGTTTTACACATTGACCAATACGGAAATGTATTGCTGCCGGACCAGGAAAGACATAAGTTCAGTATTACGTTATGTGATGGATGGATTTCACGTTAAAACGTGATTAGTTATATATATTTCAAGTTTGAATGTGATAATTTCACATTATAACCTGATAAGTATCATGTTTTAATGTTGGTAACTTGTCAGGTTCAACACAACATATTTAATGTGTTAATGTGTTTCAAATGATAACGTGATACTGTAGTGAACTTTTTTCTGGTGTGTCAGCAGTACGCTTCCATAACCAAGTTAAATAACTAAGCACAATTTTAACACAGGAGCCAACGAGCATTGATTCTGCCTGTGATGCGATCCAAACATGTTCGCATGTCTTTGTTAACACCGTTAATTGACGTACAACAAATGCTAAATTAGCTAATGCTATTACAACTGAAATAAATCACTTAACATGTTTGTGTTTTTTAAAATTATACAGCATTTTTGAATGCCAGATGCTAGTGGTTGTTAGGCTGGCACATGACACATGTTGCCCATCAATAATAATTCTTGCACCTGACAACATCCAAAAATTCTCGGAATCTCTCGGGCCATTGTCGTGATATGCTCTGTCTCTGTTTTGGCAGTCTGATTGAACCCCAAGTTCTTAAAAAAAAACAATCCCAATCTTAACCTAAGTTTACTTTACCTCGCCCCGTTTGTATCTGTTGACAGCTTGTCATCATTCGTGGAAGCTGAAAAAAAGTAATTATCCTTTTTGACAAAGTAAGAAATTACATATACAGGCGCTCCCCGCTTTACGAACTTTCGTGTTGCGAACAACGGTACATAGGAACATTTTTGCGGGTACAGGTATGTCGAAAAATGTTCTCGGACAGAGATGCTGTCAGTCAGATTTTGTATTGCGCGCCTTTTTCCGAGTACTGTAGTACTTCTTTCCGCCGCTAATACCGACATGAGGCGCTGTGAGAGGAGGAGGAAACGCTTGTCCCCATGAAGAAGTTCGAGACGGAACTCTCTCCCCCTCCATCATCTCCTTAAGCCTTCGAGTACATCTTCCAAAAGTATGTTAAACTTCATTTTATTACACTTATATAAGCCTTAAACATACTTATATAAGCCTTAAACATACATTCCATACAAAATATAGCACTGAAGCAACTTACGTACGAATTCAGCCAGCGAACGATCCTTCGGAACGTATCTCGTTCGTTACCTGGGGAGCGTCTGTATCTGATTTCAATTGTACTGTGGAACGTAAAAATAAAAAAAAAGAACCCAGGTACTTAAATACCGTCACAAAGTAATTTTACTTCATTACTTCCCACCACAGATGATTTTACTCGCAAAAAAATACATCTTTGTTCATCTAATTTTCCCAGTAATGTATGTGACAGACAGAACATTTCAAGGTTCTTCCACTAGATGGCACAAGGAATCCTTAACCTGTGTCTTTCACCTGTTCCCATTCATCTATCCATCCTATCCCTATCCGCTTTATCCCCAAGAGGGTCGCTTGGGGGGCGGGTTGTTGGAGCCTATCCCAGTCGTATCGCAGTAGGCGGGGGACACCCAATATCGGTTGCCAGCCAATCGCAGGGCACACAGAGACGAACAACCATCCACGCGCACACTCACACCTAAGGACAATTTTTTTGAGTGTTCAATCCGCCTGCCATGCATGTTTTTGGAATGTGGGAGGAAACCGGACTACCCGGTGAAAACCCACACAGGCCCGGGGAGAACATACAAACTCCACACAGGGAGGGCAGAGCTGCACTGTGAGGTTGACTGTTCCCATTCATACAACAGAATAATTCATCGCGAGCGCACACACTAAGTAAATTTGTTAGTAAATTGAAACAACATCACCAGCTCAGTATACACTTATTGGGACATTTAGTTTTGTGGTGTGTTGAGATTCCATTTCTTTAAAATACTTAGTCTTTCCTCTGGCTCAATAAAAATGTGAACATCTGGGACAGACAGTGACAAGCATAGAGTATATTGCTATATACAGTTCATATTAACTGATCATAAACCGTGTCTGCTTTTTTTCTAAACGGGCAGGACGGAAAAGTGATCGTGTGGGATGCCTTCACTACCAACAAGGTAACTACTCGTCTTTTTAACGTGCCGCCCTGAATAAAACATAAAGACCTATTTCTGCTGCGCTCAACACTATGGACGTCCTTAACGGCTGTCCTGAACGGCTCTTTGGCTCTCAAGCCTTTGAAATAGAATTCTTCAGTGATGCAGTGTTTGGAAGAAAAGTGCTTTCCAAATACAGTAAATATCGATTGCTTTATCGAAAGAAAGATGATGCCATAACCGGTAGTGGAGTGCTGTGCGACACCCGCGTACATTTTCTTCAGTCTCGCTTTGGCATTGATCATGTTTATTTGTGTTATGCGTGTGTGAAAATGCATCATCCACAATGCTTGGGCAGTACAGTATACAGTGATAAGGGTAAAAAATACATATGTAACAATAGTACCACATGAACCACTTTAACATGTATTCTTGAATTGCATCCAGGTCCAAACAAAAAGCAAAAGAAAACCAAATCCAAACAAGAAAGAAGTTGACAGAGATATAAATGCTAACGTTTAATATTCTAATGTCGATATGTTTTATGTGTATATGATCAATGGTAACTGTTCTCTCACAAAAAAAAACAACAACAAAACAATAGTGTTGCTTTATTTTCTATGTTTTTAATTGTAAAAAAATAAATTCATCTTAAATTTAAGAATAATAAGAATAAGAAAACCTTTATTCGTCTCACAACGGAGAAATTGCCAATTTACAGCAGCAAACTTATGAAAGGAAGAAAATAGAAGCACAAGCGTATTTCACAGAGTCTAAAACCTTTTCTAAAATTGCGAGTAGTTCCAGCATGTGGGCCAAGTGTACCAAGCAGTGTTTCATGTTGTAGTTGATTGTTCTCTTGGAGTCATCCACTCAAAAGATCCGATTGCTGTCCCTCTCTGAAGCGGCTTTGTTTGTTTTGATGTGGATCAGGAGCATGCCGTGACGATGCCTTGCACCTGGGTCATGGCCTGCGCCTACGCCCCGTCCGGCTGTGCTGTAGCTTGTGGGTGAGTGCCGCGCCATGTCACGTCAACTCGCCTCTGTTTGTTGTTGTCGTTAGATAGCAGGCGCTTGGTTTTGTGACACACATGCGCAACAACCTGTTCAATGTTGGGATAAATCTGGTTACAAATGTTAAAAATGAATACAGTATACTAAATGTGCCATTATATTCTGAATATGTATTACTAACAATGAAATTCCTAATTTTATTACCGTCAAAGTATTCAACGTACACTTTTCAGCTTCAAAGATTCCACATTCTACCATTGCAGTTCATTTTGTGTTTTAATTGCTTCTGTGTTCCATCCCAGTGGCCTGGACAACAAATGTTCAGTGTATCCTCTGTCCCTGGACAAAAACGAGAACCTGGCTGCAAAGAAAAAGTCGGTCGCCATGCACACAAACTACTTGTCCGCTTGTAGCTTCACCAACTCGGACATGCAGGTGAGAATTATATGACTATGTCTTGCTCGCTTAATTCTCCAGCTAATTCTATTTATGTGCCTCCCACTTGATGTTTACTGTGGTTTACGCTATCTTAATGCTAACATAATCGTCTGAAGCATTAGCATTTACGTGATGCTAATCATTAGCCTTCAAACACCTGCTATTTTAACACACACCGAGCAGCAACACATACAAAAAGAGCAAATAACAATTCAGTCTTTGTTCTGGGGGAGCTGCAAATACGTTGGGGGACTGACTAGCTGTTTGGTTGCTGTTCTTGCTGCTAAATTCGGACTTGCCAGTATACTGTAAAAGCCATTGGTGGGCAAGGGTGTTTCGACCTGGGCCTTCAGTGGTCTGACCATTTCCTTCATCAATAGATTCTGACCATTTCATGTAAATTGTAAATCTGTGCTTCTGATCGTGTTTAGGCCAGCACTATTGTACTCAACTCATTTGTGTGTTGTTGTTAATGCCTTTTATGCTCCGGGCAGTCAAGCTTTCTCACTTGTTTAATAATTCAATACAGCCAATCGGGGGTTCATGTCCAGGTCATTTGGCGTTTTACGCAAACAAAGCAGGCCGTCCATTTATAGCTCATCGACATTTCACCCCTGTTATAATTGTCCATCATCTCTTTGTCTCGAAGATCCTAACTTCCAGCGGGGACGGGACGTGTGCATTATGGGATGTCGAGAGCGGCCAGTTGTTGCAGAGTTTCCATGGCCATGCGGCAGATGTGCTGTGTCTGGATTTGGCACCCTCCGAGACCGGGAACACTTTTGTCTCAGGGGTGAGAGAATATCTTCACGCCTTCTTGTGGTTTTGACTGAACTGGTTATTGATATGAAATTATAAATGTGAAATTATTTTTAACATGGTCTTCTGCCATTGTTTTGGTAGGGCTGCGATAAGAAGGCCAATGTGTGGGACATGCGTTCGGGACAGTGCATCCAGTCTTTTGAAACTCATGAATCTGACATCAACAGCGTGCGGTGAGTCACAAACACATTGGAATACAATTAGATTATGTTGTTCTGTTAGATTATATTGGATAATATATAATCTCTCTCTCACTGGCTCTCTAAACAGTTACTATCCCAGCGGAGATGCATTTGCGTCTGGCTCAGATGATGCCACAGTAAGTATTATTAAATAATGGTTTGATCACTATCTTACTGAGCCCCTAAAGTGACATGGAGAGAAAAAAAATAAATTCTCATCCTAACGAGAAAACGTATTTACCTGCGTGAGCTAGCGTCCTGTGAACCCCAACAGAATTGGGATAGGAAATGATCTTCTGAAAAGTATTTTCTCATGTTTTTAATGAAACCATGTAATATGAGTATTTACTTTGACTGAAATGTGCATTATTCCGTGATATTTGAATGTATCGAGATGCACCTATACAATTATTCCTATTAGCCATGATGCTCTGTTCAAACATTGGCACTTTTGTTATAGTGCCGCCTGTATGACTTAAGAGCAGACAGAGAAGTAGCGATCTATTCCAAAGAGAGCATCATATTCGGCGTATCCAGTGTTGATTTCTCTCTTAGTGGTAAGTTTTGTTTCTAATTATATTTAGCTTATACAAAGTACATAAAGCAAATGCCTCTTGAAGATAAAACTATTTGTGTGTGTGCTTCCCCTAGGCCGACTTCTTTTTGGTGGCTACAACGACTACACCATTAATGTCTGGGATGTTCTCAAAGGAACACGGGTGTCAATTCTGTTTGGACACGAGAACCGTGTCAGCACATTGCGGGTGTCCCCGGATGGGACGGCTTTCTGCACGGGCTCATGGGACCACACTCTTCGGGTAAGAAAGGGACTCTCGTCTTGTATTTTTGTGTTGTCGTTTCTTCAAATTCCTTTTATAACCGGTGGCACTGTTGGTTTCAGATCTGGGCTTGAGGGCTTGGACATGGATGAAATAAAGTCAGACAGACGAGAAGCCCTGCGGACACAAAGACCTTTCTGTTTGCTTGTGTACAATCACAGAAATGGACACTTGCTTTGTGGTTGTACATATCAAAAGCATTGTTTGTACTTTAGTCTCACAGCCAGGTTAGATTAACATATCACTTTGAACAATTAAGCCAAATGATTGGATAAAACTGCACAGAAGGACCTAAGATAGACAACAAAACGTGTTGAAATGTGTTTGGTGAAAAAAAAAACACTTGTAGTGAATAGCATTCTAGGATAGAAGTGACACAATAAAGTGATGTGTTGTATGTGCCACATAAAGGGCATTGTTTGTTAATTATTACCGGTAATTGTTTTACAGAAGAATAACGATTTTATTGGTATGCCTAATGCTGATGAATACACAGTACAGTATGTAGACGTGAAAGAAAGCAAATCAATGTCGAATAACCTGTTCCCACAGAAAGCATCTTTCAATATTAAAAGAAGCTAAGCTGCCAATATTTTTGAAATAAGCACAGTAAAATGAGAAGTTATGGCATATTCAGTTTTTCTTCATCACCATGAATTTTATTTGCCATGTTTCTACACGTGTAAGCCATCGAGGCTCAATCAATGTGCATATCCAGTCACATATGTGTGGTCCACACTAGAAATCGAAATGCTAATAAATGGAATGTACTAATTTCCATGCAGTTGTCCAAAGGCTGTAATTTCACATTAACTGTAATTATTTTATTGTAGTTTAGTGTACAGTTATAAATTGCTTGTTTATCAGATATTATCATAATTATCATAATAATAAACTGCGTTTGAATATCACTGGGGTGTGATCATTTATTTGTTTGTCATTTGCATGTCCTCAATAAAGTTTTCACAAAAAAAGCGGAAGTGACCTACCGGAATCACAACAATGGCCGCCAGCGGTTTTAGGATTTTTCTTCCCGTGCTTTTGTAAAGCATTTCACGCGTATTATTGTCCGCCTGTGTGTTACAACGTGGCGGAGATGGATAGACGCCCCCTCAACGATTCGTTTAAAAAGTAAGCCAGCTCCCGAGCGGGCCAAAATGAGCGACGTAGTGGAGAAAACCCTGACAGCTCTGCCGAGCCTGCTGTCTTTCGACTCTCAACCGGGCGCTGCCAAACTATCTTCCACCTCCAAATTGGCAAGCCTCATCAGAGGAATCACAGAGTTAACATCCAAGCATGTGAGTTTGTCGTCCGCCAAAACTCTACTATATTACAGCTAGTCAAATAGACATTAACGTGCTCAACTTACTATAAGGTCAAGTATCTGCATCAGTTCTGCAATGTATATAGACATGTTGAGTGGCTCAGTTGATTAAAATTGGTTAGTTAAAGCATTGTCAAACTTTGGGTCCAGGATCCTCTTACAGGAGAGACATTTGACCACCTTATCATCTTAATGCCAGTTAAATGCATGAGGAATAAGGTTGACTATTTTTGAGAAAAAGAACGAGTGTTATGACGACAAATAAATTTTTTTAGGAGAAAAAAAATCCTGCGATCAGATTACAGATCTACTGTTTTAATAAAACTATACTAGTGCTATGTTGTAATACTGGTACTTAATTTGGAATTTTAGGAGAATAAAATCTTATTTTTAAGATAAAGTACAATTTTTTTTCATATTTTCATCCTGTTCAGGAGGAAGAGAAGCTGATTCAACAAGAACTGGTCGCAATTAAAGATCAAGTGTCGTCCCCTAACACATCCATGGTTGGCTTCATGAAATCTGTTCTTTGCCCATGCACAATAACAGCTCGAGTGTAATGTTGAATTTTGGTGTCACGCATCAGAGGCAGATGAAGGAGCTCATGGTGCGAGCCATCTATTGTGAAATGTTGGGCTATGAGGCTTCCTTCTGTTACATTCATGCCATAAAGCTGGCTCAACAAGGAACCGCGTTGGACAAGAGAGTTGGTATGTGTGTTTGTGTGCATGTTATTTAAAGGGAAAAAAGTAATACCTCACTCATCATTGTTGTCATTTGGATTGAGTTAGAGCATACCTTTCTCCCAATAATAAAAATTGGGACAGATGAGACAGTTTGGATGCACTCTTTTTTTCTTCTGTCGGCAGAGTGACTCTGATTCATCTGCAAAATAATGTAATTGGGGAATTCCAATTTCCCACCTGTGGAGCTAATTCTTTCGACATTCCAGACATTTTTGGTTGGATTCCAAATGGTTTGCATTCAGGACAAAGGTGTCACTGCATTTTTGCTTGCTTATCCTCAAATATATTTTGTCTGTCATTTCCAGGTTACCTCGCCGTGGCCTTGTTTCTTCATGAAAGTCACGAGCTCCTCCTCCTCCTTGTAAATACCGTCTTAAAGGTTGGTTTTGTTGTGGTTTGTTTTAAATAAAGAATTTTTTTGTTTTAACATGGAATTAGTGATTTCCATGCCCTCTCTGCATTTAGGATCTCCAGAGCACAAACCTCATTGAAGTGTGCATGGCCCTCACTATCGTTAGCCAGTTGTTCCCCAAAGATATGATACCTGCGATCCTCCCTCTAGTGGAAGAGAAGCTCACTCACCCGAAGTAAGAAATGCTTTTTCTTTAGGTTTCATTTTTGCATCCACTGATCATCAACCAACATGGCTCTTGTATCAGATCTCAGTCGTAATTTTTGTCGGGTGTGTGTTTGTGTGAGATTTGGTCATAAAAAGCAACATGTCTGGACTGATTTACATTTCTGATAACGTTTTTGGTTTTTTTTTTTGGACAGAGAAATCATTCGACGAAAAGCAGTCCTGGCACTGTACAAATTTTACCTAATTGCACCCAATCAAGTTCAGCACATCCACAACAAGTTTCGCAAAGCTTTGTGTGACAAGGATCCGGGTGTTATGACGGCCTCACTGCACATCTATTTACAGATGATCAAAGTACATTATTTTTTTTGTATTTCATCATTGCTTATGTTGTTAAAACTTTGACTGTGACATGATAAAATAAAATACACATATTTTAGATTGATTTGCTCAACATCTGTTACCCTTTTGCTTGTTTTGCCTCATTTAGGAGAATCCAGAAGGTTACAAGGACTTGACAGGCAGTTTTGTCACTATTTTGAAACAAGTGGTGGGTGGAAAACTGCCAATGGATTACAACTATCATAGTGTTCCTTCTCCTTGGCTTCAAATCCAGCTACTCAGGATTCTGTCCTTGCTTGGGAAAGATGACCAAAGGTAATTAATCCGAGTCTCAATGGAATTGAGCATCCAATGCTCTGCTTTGACTTATTATTATTATTATTTTTTTTTTGTGCGACACAGCTCAAGTGAGATTATGTACGAAGTCCTTGACGAGTCCTTACGACGAGCCGAGATGAACCACAACATCACTTATGGTGTGACACATTTGAAATCATAATGTGGTTTCTCAACGTTGCTTCATCTACTTCTAATTTCACTTTCATCATCCTCTTTGATCTTTCCCCAGCAATATTGTACGAGTGTGTGAAATGTATTTACACAATTCATCCTAAGGATGAGCTCCTGGAAAAAGCTGCAAAATGTATTGGTAACTTTATTCTGTCACCAAAGATTAACCTGAAATATATAGGTAGGCAACCTGCAGCGTTTTTTATTTATTTTTAAGTAAGTCTGTCGACCAAAGAAAATGTTTTGGTGGGGCTGCAGGCTTGAAAGCGCTCACCTACGTGGTCCAGCAGGATCCTAAACTGGCCCTGCAGCATCAGATGACCATCATTGAATGCCTTGATCATCCCGACCTCATCATCAAGCGTGAGGTGAGACAGACGCTGGTTCATAATCTGGATTTTCTCAGCTCCTTATATCCTCTCTCTTCTGCACGTAGACACTGGAGTTGCTCTTTAGGATCACAAACGGCAAGAATGTCACTGTAATTGTGGAGAAATTGCTGGACTTTCTGCGCACCAGTAAAGATGACTACACGACCATTGACCTGATGGGGAAGGTGGCAGAAGTGGCTGAAAAATATCCTTTGTTGGTGTGGATGGAAGCAGGAAATATTATTGTTTGCAATAACCTCTAATCTGAATCTGAAACCGTTTTGATATTTATGTACCATTACTTTTACTGTAAATTTACGGATGCTTTTCATTTTGGGTGAATGTAGTTGCCCAAGTCATTTTTAACTTACTGACATAGGATCAATCAATAAAATAGAAATGTGCTTGCTGAAAATGTTTTTTTTTTTGTTGTTTTTGTTTTTTTTTTAATCTTTTGCATAGATTCTTAGTCATCCAGGTCAATGGTTGAATCGAGCGAGGCAACTGAACTTGTTTGTTGAACTGGTTGTGTTTGTTCTCGTTTTCCCAAAACATGCAAAAATAATTTCGGCAATTTTACTTTTAAGGTCATAAGTTAGCCAGACAGGCATAATGGCTCTGTTGAAAAAAATACTTCCAGTTGGTATCATTGATTTTTCCGATGAAAAATTCTACATATGCACCTGACAACAAGTGGTTCATTGCCACAATGAACACTGTCTTCTCACTGGGTGGAGACTTGATGCAGCCCGACATCCCCAACAACTTCCTCAAACTGATCTCAGAAGGTGACGCAGCTTTTTGTGATATTGTACTATTTTCCTCTCTTTTTATTGCATCATCCCAAATGTGTCTGTCTTCCAATCATCCAGGGTTTGATGACGGGGAACAAGACAGGATGTTGAGGCTTTTTGCAGTGGATTCCTATGTGTCTCTGCTACAGGGAGAGCCTGAGAAGCTGCCTCAGCGTTTCCTCCAGGTCATCAGCTGGGTGAGTGCGATTTCTAAACTGGCCATCATGCAATTGCAGCTGCAGGAACGTTGCACATGTTGAACAGTGATGAACTTCTTTTTGCGCATGCCCACATTTTCACCAAGCAGTCACAGTTCCAGTATACCTGCCATAGTATTGTTTGAAATCCTGACAGTTTTGTGTTTGTGTTTCAGGTCCTTGGAGAATATTCTCATTTGAGAGAAGATCTGGAACCTGCCACTGTTGTGAGACTTCTGGCCCATGTTTTGGACTTGAAGCAGGCCAGCAGTGAAACGAAGAGCTGGGTCCTCTTGGCAATGACGAAGCTCTGTGAGGGCGAGGCGGCCATGTCTGTGCTTCAGGGAGTTTCCGAAACATATAGCAGCTCCATGGACACAGTGCTGAGGCAAAGGGCTCAGGAACTGCAGAACCTCCACTTGAATCCTGAGTTGTGGGCCAGGGTGCTCCCTCGAGATGCCTTCACGGAGCCTCTGGAGGTAACATGTCGTAATTTTGGAATCGGTGATCATATCGCAGCAATCCAGTATACTTCAGTTGTTGCGTACCATTAAATGATTCGTTTTCTGGGTTACCAGGTTGATTCATCTTTGTCATTTTTGGATGGGTATGTGTCCGAAGCGCTGGCTGCTGGTGCCGCTCCTTATAAGTCTCCACACCAACGTCAGGAAGAGCTCGCTCAGGCAAAAGGTTCGGTCAAACTTGAACCCATATTGACAATGTGACATGTTCTGAATATCGTTGTTCTGATTCCTTCCTCAGCTGTCAGCATGGAGCCCTACGGCCTGTCGCTACCTATCAGCATGTCCTTGAGCAGTTTAGATGGCAGACAGTCTCCCACCTTGCTCTCAATGAGCTCTGGTCTGTCAGGTGACAGTACCGACCACTCACACAAAGCGGGGTTTGTAAAACTCATCTCCTTTGCGTTCAATTTTTTTTTTAATTCCTCTTTTAATTGATCTTTATATGTCTAAAATACACCTTTCAAGGCACTTTACAGATGATACAGTTTTTAAACAACACATTTGATTTCTACAAAGCATTATGGTTTGAACACCAACCAAAGTGCACTTAAGAGAGCCCTTGAGAAAATCAAAATACCAAACCTTGAACAGAACCAAGACTCAATGCGGGACATCCATCTCCGGTTATCAATCTATTGTCTGAAAGAGAAAAAAGAGGATAGAAAAGGATTGCAGATGCAAAAAGACAACAGTTAACGTAACATCAGTACGAGTATCGATGCGATGTCTTCTCTCTACCTCAGTACGACAACTCTAAAGCTGGATAAAGTGAAGCGAGTGTGGGGGAGGGAGGGCTACCTGGCCCAGAGGGAATCTGCCGTGGTTGAAGTGCCCAGTCCCGTCCATTCAGCCGACCAGATCGAGGAAGTCGGCATCTCACAGGATCCTACCCCACCGCCAGTCGCGGATCAAGAAAAACAGCAGCTGGCGTCTTCATTGTTTGTCGGCTTGGGCTCCCAAACATCTTCGTCCTTGGTGAGCAGAGAAACACAATAACTTCATTTCGCTGGTTTAGGCTCTGTATGATATAGCGCAGATCTTATAAAATAATAAAAAAAAAATTAAAAAAAAGAAATGATGCTTCCCTATCGACATTTACAATGGGCCCCTGCATCAATATTTTTTAAATATTTTTGGGAGGTTTTATTTTTTTCCTTTACTATTGCTACTTTGTACTATGTCTACCCCCCCCCCACCCAATTTGAAAACTGCACTCAAGTACATTGCGATGTCGGTTTGAATTTGATGTTCAGCCCTACTTTTTATGAATGACTCTTTGTCTCCAAACAGATGGGAAAGTCTGAGCCAAAACATCAGAGGTTGAGGAAAAAGGCTAAAGATCCGGTCTCATCCTCAGAGATCAGCAAGCAGACATCCAACTCTATCTTTCCTCCTCCCATCAGCGTCGATAACCTGCTGTGTAACTCCAACATGGACCCGAAGAAGTCCTTACCCTCATGTACGCAGATGACTGAAAGTTCTCAGGGCTCCGCGGCAGCTAATGGTACCTGCGCCGCAGAGGGCGAGTTCACAGAGGGCGACGTGCAGGGACCTGAACCCAGTCTCTTCAGGGACAACCGTTTAACCATTGCTGGATCTTGTGAGACGGAAGAACCAGTGGGAATGAAAGACTTGTGTCTCACCTCTTACCTCCCTGCTGACTGCATCGGAGCGAACCACTCCGAATTCACTCCTCTGTGTTCCAGCCACGGCGTGCATCTCTCCGCCTGCCATGTACACAAAGACGACACTTTGGTGCTGCTTGTTTTTATTTCCAACTCCTCCAACTCTGATGTACATCAGTTCATTGTGCAGGTGGACTCAGGAGATGTTGAGGTAAATTAGAAATTGACTCTCCTTAATACATCCCAACATTTAGGATGAAACTTTGATATTCAAGACTGCTGGAAAGTATAAAATATCCATCTTGGAGCTTGAGTATTCTTTGTGAAGAGACAATTTTACATACGTGAATTTCCTCCCAAAACCGTTTGTGGTAATGGAGATATTTCTAAAACAAAGGAATTACACATGATCTATCTTAAATAACCGATAAGTTAAATACACTAGCTTAATGCTAACACAGAATTGGAAATGCAAAAGATGGGCTCACAAATAACGTCTCTGTGGCCGTGTTATAACGCTTTAAAGAAGGGATATTTGAACTCAAATAGTGCCGCAACACATGTAGACAGACATAACAATACTCACAGATATATACACTGTACTTCATCCTCTGCGGAAAATGATTCATGCAGATTACTGAGTCACAGTAGTTGAGTGAAACTATTATTTATGTATTATACGACCCCCGACGCACACCGGAAGGGGCTGCAATGACTTCATCATGAAGCACAAACTGTCTCTACATCCTATTGAATTCTTATGACAATATTTTTTTTAATATATGTAGATCAATATCATAAAGTGCTGTTCTACTTGTTATTTATTATTTTTTCTGTAAGGCTGGAACAGCTTTTGCTAAGCCATAATCTTTTTTTTTTTTCTTCATTGCATTGGAATCCATTGTGCTAAAAGTTTATCAAAGTTTTATATATATTTTTCCCCCAGGTGTCCTGTCTCTCTGAAAGTCCAGTGGAAGAGTTGAGGTGCCACCACGTCGAAGTGTGTCAGTACTCCTTGACTGCCAAGAGGCCTTCAGTTCATCTTGAAGTATCCGGCCTGGTTTCTTTCAACATGCCTGACAGAACTCCTCAGACAACCCACTTCTCTTACAAACTGCCGCTTCCCTCCTTCATCAGGTGAAACATTTGTGACCGTGCGTCATAGTGTGAATATTTGCTTGTCTTCGTCAGACTCATTCGTTTTGTGCTCAGGCCTTTGGAGTTGTCCACGGAGGAGTACGGCACCATGTGGCTGGCCTTCTCGCACGATACAAAGCAGAACCTGACGCTCGTAGCAGACGTCCAGGATTCTTTGAGAGCGACGTTGGATGTGCTGGAGAGGAAACTTCACCTTCATGTGGTGGCCATCATAGGTAACGACACTATTCAGTGTTACGTCTGATGGGTCATCATTACTGGTGAAGTGACTACTTTAGTCTCTTACTGTCATTCTGACCCCCTGCCCCTCCCCAAAAATGTAACGTTGTATACTGTTCCTTTGAAGATGGCGCTGTAGTTGACCTGTCTGCAAGAGCTCTGCTTTTTTTGTTGTTTTGTCATATGGTGTTTGTTGTACTTTGTGTGGACCCGTTTTGGCCAGGACATTCGTCGAAGGAGAAGACTCTGTGCTTGATGGTTGCGACAGTGTTTGTTGTACTTTGTGTGGACCCGTTTTGGCCAGGACATTCGTCGAAGGAGAAGAATCTGTGCTTGATAGTTGCGCCACGCGTGTACCAGCACTGATTTTGATGGGGGGAGACAGTCTGCGTTGGTGCGGCTGAATGGATGCTGAGCATGAATAGAGAGGAGCGGATTGGTATTTGGAATCGAGAGCCAGCGCTTCGAAATGAAGCGAATTTACATGGGACAGCAGAAGTGAACCAACGTCTTTATTCAACAATGGACGCTCCAAGCGTCTTGTTTTACTTTTAAACTTAGCTTGTAGCAGACGTGTGGGATGTCATGCACGTTTTGAGCGTGATGTCTCTGACCCATTGGTGAAAGGACACTTTGATTCTCTCCTGTCATCTATAATTGCTTCAAACAAAAAGGTGTATGCTGGAATAGTGGTTACGATTGCATCACTGTCTATGTGTTGTGTTATATTACCGTATTTGATTTCATGTTAACTGTTCTGTCAAGTTGCTTTGTTACAGCTGCAGCTGTTGTGAAAGCGCCATATTACAAAAGATACATTGCTCCATTTGACAAGCTTTTTACATCTTAATATTCCTTTTTGCTTCCAATTAAGACCCTTTTGTTTGTTTGTTTTGCCCCATACAGGAATGGAAGGAATTGTAGCTTGTCGGCTCCTCCCTGACCAGCCATGTTTGATGCACTGCCGGGTGCATGGTGGCACCTTGGCCGTATGGTTGCGCTCTCCGGTTCCAGACCTGCCCGACTGCCTGCTTTATCACTGTCAGAGAGCATTACAGGAAGTTTGAACCATTGACACCACTGAGCTGCATCAGCTCTGCACCACAGAACAACTGCAAGAGGTAGCAGATACAAGTCCAGAAAGTAAAAACCCTGCCACAGTTTGGCCTTAGCCATTTACTCAACTGGCAAGTAAACGAGCTCCGGGAGCCAAACTGTGGCAGATTTTTTACTTTCTGGATCTGGATTTGCCACCTCTGACAACAGCAGAGAACAAAAAGGGAGCATCTAATGGCTGGTATCTCTATTACAATGATGCTTTGTTACAGCTGCAGCTGTTGTGAAAGCGCCATTTACAAAAGATATAGTGCTCCATTTGACAAGCTTTTTACATGTTAATATTCCTTTTTGCTTCCAATAAGACCCTTTTGTTTGTTTGTTTTGCCCCATACAGGAATGGAAGGAATTGTAGCTTGTCGGCTCCTCCCTGACCAGCCATGTTTGATGCACTGCCGGGTGCATGGTGGCACCTTGGCCGTATGGTTGCGCTCTCCGGTTCCAGACCTGCCCGACTGCCTGCTTTATCACTGTCAGAGAGCATTACAGGAAGTTTGAACCATTGACACCACTGAGCTGCATCAGCTCTGCACCACAGAACAACTGCAAGAGGTAGCAGATACAAGTCCAGAAAGTAAAAACCCTGCCACAGTTTGGCCTTAGCCATTTACTCAACTGGCAAGTAAACGAGCTCCGGGAGCCAAACTGTGGCAGATTTTTTACTTTCTGGACCTGGATTTGCCACCTCTGACAACAGCAGAGAACAAAAAGGGAGTATCTAATGGCTGGTATCTCTATTACAATGATTATTACCTCCGCCATTAACTCTGGTCATGACATTAAGTACTCCTTCATAACAGAAATGAGAATCTTTCAATTCTAATACATAATTATCAAGATAGACGAGGGCAAAATATTAGAAACAGTCCTCAGCATGTTGCAGACTGCAAACTGTTGTATCTCATGAGTATGCTGGTGTACCTAATGATGTGGCCAACAACTGTACGTTTGTTAAATATGATTCCCCCCCCCCCCAACATTTTACAGTTGTTAAATTGATCACTTGCTCAATATCTGGATCCAAAGAATTGAACCATCACAATAACAACAACAAAAGAGTCTTAAAATGGTAAATCCATCTATGCTGAATTATTGAAAAGGAAAGAAAGCGCTTGTATTGGCTTACCAAAAATGCTGGAGCATTGTTTGGAATTTGCTGTGTGGGTCTTAAAACGTGTTGCAGCATTTGAAGGGAAAATTCTACACTTTGTTCAATTTCTTCAACTGAGGACACCATTGCTGAAGTTGTAAAGCCGTGACAAAACTGATTCAGATGAAGCTGACGTTTTGTCTCAAATGTAGTGATGATAACTTTCTCTGATGTGTTTATTTTCCTTTCATGCCATGTCTTGTTTTAATCTATGCACTCACCTTGCCGGTTGTCATTTAGTGAGAGGTGGATAAGAGCAATTCTTATATTTTTGTATTTAAGCAGCGTTGAAGAAACATATTTATTGGTTTTATATCTTAACTGAAAGTCTTTTGAATTAGTTCAATTTGAAAGAATAGATTCAGTCAGTCTTTTTAATTTACTACAAATTGAGAGAAAATATTTTATTTTTTTTGGTTTTGTTGTCACTTGTGAAGCATTTTAGTGTGTCTAAAGCAAACCTTAAACCCAAAGCCTTATGTTCTTAAGCCAAGGATGACATGTTTGGCTTGTGCCCGTGGCACAGAGGGAAGTAGAAATTCAGATTCCAGAGTGCCTGATGCAAATACGATAACTTCAATAAATTCATCAAGTGCACCATAATTCTGATGGCAGCATCATTATTTCATTCTGTACATGAATGGTGTGTACATGCAAATATTGATTATTAATGATCATGTCACACATTTTGTTTTCGGTGAACACAAATGTGAATAGCAATGCTAGACAGGAATGAGAAAAATAAATTGAACAAAATCTGTCACATTTCAAATCTATTTTTCATGTCATGATGTCACATGGCAAATGGGATTATTTCTGTTAGATTGTAATAAATTAACGAGGGGAAAGTGTTCAACCAAATTTGATGTGTAATATTAGACAATACATTTAAAGAAATCCTAAAGAGATTTTATTGTTTATTTCGTGCTATCTGATATCAAATGTCTATTTCCAATAGGTGGGTGCCTTGAAATACGAGTTTGTACAAAACCCATTGTATCGCAGATCATCTTTCCCCATTGAAATAAAAGGAAATCCCAGTCGTCTGTTCTAGCCTCACCAAAAAAAGAAGACACACAAAAAACAACAAACATTTTGAAGTTCTTTTAAGAGGAAAGGAAATGGCACTCTATAATATTATACTTAATAAAAACATGTAGTAACATCATTAAATAGAATGGAAAGAATTCAACAGTTGTTGCATCAGGATTAATTCACTGCAGCTCCTTCTGGTGTGCGCAATTTTGCCACCGGGGGGCAGTACAATACTGTCATGCAGACAAGATTCACACGACTACTGTGAGTATTTCGTTACTGCAGTAATATGTTGTTTTTCGCAAAGGACAAAAAATATCTGCTGTCAGTATTGCATTAGCATTAAACTAGCGGATTTAAAGGCACTTATGTGGTTGTTTTGGATACACGTGGTGTAATTCTCGTTTTGTGTTTAGTTTGCCGGTAAACTTCAGCTTGGAGTGACATTAAAGAACTTGAAGCAATTTTTAAAAAAGATGTGTTCTTTTACCTGCCAAACTGCTGCTTGTTGTGAAGTGAGTCAAACTTCAGCTTGGAGTGACATTAAAGAACTTGAAGCCATTTAAAAAAAAAAAGATGTGTTCTTTTATCTGCCAAACTGCTGCTTGTTGTGAAGTGAGTCGTGTTGAGTTCACTCACTGCCACCGTAAGCAATGAATGCGCGCTCTGTGTTTAGTCTCCTTTAACTCGAGTGATTCTATTATGATGCAAAATCAATTATGGCTATCAAAACTTCTACATTCTTCTTCTCTACTGGAGATGAACAGGTAAAAGTGCGACCAAGTGAAGTGTGCCATCTAATGGTTATTACAATTTAAAACTGATCAGGTGTGGTAAGTGAACTGTTTTAATCCCTGATCTAGATAGTACGCGTTGTTGCTAAAAGTGTACGATTACAAATTGTAAGTGTCCTAAAATGCCTCAGTGACAAGCCATTAGAAGGTACAAATTTAGCACCTTTTTACAGACGCTGAAAGCAAGTAGTCTGAGCCGACATTGTCAGTGTCAAGAGCGTATCCATGTTGCGTTGTTCGCGGGGAGAAGCGCATAGCCAGGCTGTGCTCGTCTTCCACTGGCTGCTGGGACAGGTCGTTGGTCTGCTTGATGCTGTTGACGGTGCAACCTTGGCGCGGACACACGCTGAAACGAGACAGGAGTGTAACCAGGATGGCCTTCATCATCACCATGGCGATGTTCTTGCCCACGCAGGAGCGAGGCCCGCATCCGAACGGCTGGAAGAAACGTTTGGGAACCTTGTAAAAGAAGAGACGTTATGTTGAGGTTCAACCACGATGCGTTTGGTAGTAGAGTACCGGCGGACTAACCGTTTTGTCAAAATTGTGCAGGTTGAATTCTTTGGGTTTGGGAAAAAATTCCGTCTTGTGCATGAGACCGATGTTGAGAATGATGTTTGTTCCTTTTTTAACGCTGATGCCTTCAATGTCGTCATCTTCCAGAGCTTTGCGCATGGTGAAGTCAACCACCGGATGGTACCTCAACGACTCGTTGATGAAAATCTCCAGCACTTTCAGACGTGCGTAATCCACATTTTCTGCTCCACTTTCGCCTGCATCAGCAATGGTAAAGTGTGAAGGATTTCATTTTTACATGTTATCCATCTACAGCAGTGGTGAAGGCCTTGTCTGATCATATCTCAACATAATACCATTTTTAAAAGGCTATAGGTCAGCAGTGATTCATATCACATAAAAATAACAGATTTTATTCCTGACTTTAGGAATGAAGTAAATATACAAATCCAATCTTTTTTAGTCAATCCCCATCATCTGAAAATCACATGTATCAGCCCCGTTTTCTGATCACGTGATTGGATCGGGACAACCATACGCACAATGGCTCTGATCCAATTAATCAGTCCAACCCTCGCCCACCCCCAAATAAATAATTTTATCATGTGTGTGTTTTTTTACGGGAAAAATAGCACTGTATAATATTATACAGTGCTATTTTTCCCGTAAAAAAACACACATATATATATATATATATGTATGTATATGTGTGTGTGTGTGTGTGTGTGTGTGTGTGTGTGTGTGTGTGTATAAAACAACATACTGATGACGGCGTCCATCTCCTCTACCAGGCTGTGCTCGGTGTCTGGGTTGTGTTTGAGCAGCATCAGCATGAAGAAGAGGCTGATGGAGAGAGTATCAGGAGCGGCGATCACCATCTCCAGCACACATTGCCTCACGTCGTCGCCAGAGAGTTCCCCTTGGTTCTGTTCATTCCAATCAGATTGTGTCAGTGTTCTTTTTTTAAAAATGATAAAATAGGAGTAATTTCTGATGTTCAATGAAGTGTAAAAAAAAAAAAATGTGACCCTGACAATTGAACAGTTGATAAGTCACCTGAGCAAAGATAAGCTCCGTTGCAAAATCCAGCTCGTCATCCAGCTTCTCGGATTCTTGAATAGTCTTTCTTTTCAAGTCAAGAAGCATCTCCATTGCGTCTTGAAGCTCCTGGCTGTTGATGGAACAAAACAACTGTCAAGTGCATGACCATGAGCACAGTCGGAGTCAATATTTTCTATTCCTCAAAGGATAGTCTGCTCTGTGTATCACACAAGATATGATTGTTCTTTTTTTTTGTTGTTGTTGTTGAGCGCATCTTACGCTGCTTTTTTGTGTTTATCATACAGCCATCCAATTTTGAAGAATATATCCGGCTTAATCAGAACCGCTTGCCAAGTCTTGAAATAGTTTTGAATTTTCATCAGCAAGTCCCTCTCTGAAATACACAAAGATCATTTGTATTGGCAGTTTGACAATCAAACTATGAAGAAGGACTGCATAGTCTCATCTGACCGTTGAGAGGCACCCCGAGGAAAAGTTTGTTGGAGATATCCACCACGATGGCTCTCAGCAGATTGAGAGTGTCCACGTGTCCCGAGGTGTCTGTCATGTCCTGGAGGTGATCCAAACGTTCTGCTGTGGAACTCACGCAGATGGACGCTGTCCTCTTAAGACCGGGTCCTGTCAGGGCTGGCAATTCATAAAATGTGTAAGACATACAATCGCCCCTAAGGACAATTTAGAGTGTTCCGTTAACCTGCCATGCATGTTTTTGGAATGTGGGAGGAAACCGGAGTACCCGGAAAAAAACCCACGCAGGCACGGGATGAATATGCAAACTCCACACAGGAAGGCCGGCGCCGGATTCAAACCCACAACCTCTGCACTGTGAGCCAGAAGTACTAACCAGTCGTCCACCGTGCCACCTCTAGTCATTTGTGTTTGTGATCATTTTTCTCCTTAAACGCATTTTTTTGATTGAGTTCAAGTACACAAAACCATCCAATTTGATGCACACAACTAAGAATTCCTCACCTTTCAAAAAATAAGTTCTGACTTTTTTCCAGAGTTCCACATCACTGTTAAAAATGATTCCCCTCCTTTCCATCCCAATACACTCCAAGCCTGTTTTACTCCCAAATCTGGCCACGTAGTGGGCGCTCCTCAGGACATGATAGATGGCAGAGGACCTGCAAAAGAAGCGTAACTGATGACACCATCATGCAAAAACCTGTTTGACCTCAGAGCGGCTTGCCTGCTGATGATGAGGGTCTCCTCGCTGTCGATCCACACCCGCACAATGCTGCCGTATTTGTTGTTGTAGTAGTTGCTCGCTGTTCCAATGCCGGTCCAGATAAACCGAGTATAGGAAAGATACGGACCGAGTCCTGCCATAAAGGACGGACCTGAAGGTAGAGAGGAAAATTGCATCTGATTTAACTTTCTATAGTGCTTGTCATGGTCACAATTATGCCAATAGTGAAAAGAACATCCCCTAAATATGAATACAGTAATCTCTCCCTCCAACAGGTTGTTTGTGGTTTGTGGGGTTTTTTATTTATTTATTTTTTTGCACAGGATTTTTTTCCTTGGCACATTTATTTTGGGTGTAATTCCACTCTCTGCCGCTAGATGGTGGCACACTGTTTTGTTTGACACTAAATTTGAGAGTGAATACAGTAATCTCTCCCTCCAACAGGTTGTTTGGGGTTTGTGTTGTTTTTTTTGCACAGTTTAAAATGATTTTTTTCCCTGGCACATTTATTTTGGGTGTAATTCAACTCTCTACCGCTAGATGGTGGCACACTGTTTTTTTTGACACAATATAAATTTGAAAGAAAAAGAATGAAAAAATGAAGTATTTCAGATCAGCCTTTTTGCTGAGGGTTGTTAAATGTTACTGTAACATTTTTTTCAATCCTGCTTTTCGCTCCTTCACAAAATGCCAGCTCTGGGATAAATTTATAATCTAAAATTTGGGGTATGATTGTTGCTGTGTATTGTGAGGTGGGAAACTCAGTTTGTTTTTACCGGAAGAAAAGAGATTTGTTAAATGTAATCATATTGAGGGATCGGTGCACTGTTACATTGTACAATATTTTAATGTTTCACTAACTCTCTCGCAATGTATTCCGTTAAAATGTGTTTTTATTATTTTGAAAGTGTGTTTAAAGACAGAGAAAATGAATTTCCCAAAATCCTATAAAAAACATGCCCCGGGAGGAGCATAGTTCTATTTTGCGGATTTCCCTCTACCGCGTGGGTGCTTTGGAATGTAACCCCTACAAAGGCAAAGGATTACTGTAATTCATACTTGGATTAATTGTTGAACTGATTGTGAGGTGTGCACAATGACTTACATGATGTTCCTCATAGTGCACATTGGCATTACCTGGTATGTTTGACCAATGTGTCCATTCCCAGGCAGTGACGAGCAGCAGCAACAGCAGAAGAAGCAGTAAAGCAACAGTGTCCGACACCGGGTAACCCACCGTGTGGCTGTTGGTGAGAACCTCCAGGAGTGACATGATGGTACCTAATGTTTTGGCCACAGAGCAAAAAACGGCGACTAGAATCACTGTTTAAATACAGTAAATTTGTTTAGCTTTTAATTTACTCTTTAAAAGAACTTAACATTTATTTCGGTACCGGTACAATTTATTTTAAACTTTGATATGCAGTATGTTTTCATTGTTCATTATTTAATATCGTTTCCCCTCTTATATTTTAGTGCAGTGTTAATAGTTAAACTGTTGAGAATGTTTTAGTGACATGCAAGAAAAGGGGAAATCAAGTCATAAAAGTTGTTTCCAATTATAAATTCTACGGGGCCCCACTAGTGTAAACACGACATTCTGAATAATACTTTGTGGAATATTAATTAAGCAGTCATGTGACAGTGGTAAGCTAAGCCCTAAGGCACTTTTGTCATTTTCAGTCGTGAGCAAATGGCAAAATGTCCGCCCACTGCTTTGGATAAAAACAGGATGATTTTCTTGTTTTATTCATATGTCACATATGCAATATTAATTGGAATACTGTGTTTTTGATGAGTCGCTAGAACTAACATTATTGTATAGATTTTTTTTTTACTTGACTTCCCCTGTCAATATGCTTTTTATGAATAAACTGTCATTTTTATGAACACCTAGGCCTACTAGACTAATGTATTTTAATGTTGGTCATGATTGTGGAACATGGAAGGCTAAAGTGTTAGTTTGTTTGTTTGTTTTTTTTGGGCGGTAGATGGTAAAAACTTTTATAAGGACTTATTAAAAGTACATCACAGGACCTATCATCAAAACTGAGAAATGTCAGCAATCTCAAACTAGTGAACACCGTTAATTTTAGAGTCAATCTGTAGTTCAAAAATAATGTATTAATAACATAAAAAAGCATACTAGGGTCAGCCCATGTCATTTAAACTGCACAATTATGCCCTTATTTTGTTTTTGTGTTGCATGCTTTATGTTTCCCTTCGAATATACATCCATCCATCCTTCCATCCATTTTCTAATCCACTCATCCTCACAAGGGGCGCGGGGGGTGCTGGAGCCTATCCCAGCTGTCTTCGGGCAGTAGGCGAGGGACACCTTGAATGCGGTTGCCAGCCAATCAAAGGGCATTCACTCATAAAATCACATTTCAGAAAAAACGGCAGTTCTAATTGTCACAATTTACAAGTCTAAATTTGTGTTCCAAGATAACACATTTAAAAAACCCCATTCTGTAAATTGTAAATAAAAAAAAAGAAAAAAAGGCCGTTTTGTACTGTTTTTCTTCAACGCAATATAGTTCATAAAGCAATTCTTATTGAAGATGCCTTGCTCACCTTTGCGCTCCACCGATGCTGCTGTCACGTTGGTGTGCCGTCTGAGGGGATGCAGTGCTTCCTTCACTTGTTTTATAAGATGAGCTCCTCTCTCCAACAAAATAAATCACTATGCCTTCAGAGTTACTAAATCCTTTATTTTATTTATTTATTTTTTAAAAGGCTTTCAGTTTCTTCCTTGTTGCCTAGAAACACATGCAGTTTGGCATCTTGAGTACCACAGCGCGTTCAAGGCAGTGAGCAGAGCACATCTGAGACACAAAGCAACCTCAAAAAGAACTCACGCCACCCTGCCAAAGAAGTGTTTTTATTAATAAGGATGAAAAAGCGAAGCTCTTCAATTTGTCTTCACGTGGCCTTGCTGCATATTGCGTTTTGTTTGAAAGGAAGAAAGGAAGAAAGCCCGCTTCCCAAATCTTTGGAGTGAGGAGTCTTTTCAAGGGGAACTTAATTAGCTGGGTCAGACTGACCCGTGTCAAAGGGAGCGAGGATTTAACTGTTCCAAAAAGGAGAATAAACGAGAATAATGAGTAATAAGTCAGTCCATGCTGCTGTTACTGCATAGGGAGGACAGAAAATAATAGCTGAAATTGTAAAGTAGAAAAATGGAGAAGAGAATTAATGTGGATGTTGGAGACATCATTCAAGCTCGGTGACCATGAACACATGATCTTGATCAACACATTGCACCGTTTTCCAACGTTGCCGAGTTGGCCCCAAAACCGCCTTTGCTTGTTGTCGTAGAGGGTGACAGGATTGGAACACTCACTGTTGTTATGCATCAATTTTTTGTGTGTATATATATATATATATATATATATATTTTTTTTTTCACTGTATCATAACTTAGAGCGAGAAAGTAAAACTAAACCGTTAAAATAAGTTAAGAATATATCGAGGGGTAGCATGTGTTGCCAGCGCCCTCTATCGGTCGTATGTAAGTAATGCTTATCCTGTCTGGGGCACGGGGAGCTGGAGCCTGTCCCAGATGACTTGGGGCAAGGGAACACTACATCCTGGACTGGTCATCTTGAATAGTACACTTAAAAAGATGTTCTCTTGCTTGCGATTGTGAATTTAAGTTCACAGTACCTTTATGTCAACCATTTACTAACGCACTCAAGCGGGCACGGTTAAACCGCATGGCGTTTTTCCAAGTACAATTTTATTAGTTGCGCGAATCTTGAGAATATGAAAAAGTCAGACAGAACATTCCAAACCATAAATCGCAAAATCGAAATGCATATTTTGGTATTCAAAAGCATCGAAATCAGAGAAAACATTTATTCAAATCAACGTAGACTCACCAAATCTACATTTGGCACCTGAATCAAGTCAGCAAATGTGTCTGTGGCATTCATGTCAATATTTGTACTTAGACTAATTATAATAATAAAGTACACAGAAAAAAACTCTGAGCATGGCATCATTAATATTCACTTGGGGAAATGCCACACTACAACTGGAAGTAAACATTTAGACCTAATTGTCGTTATGATGAAACGGCAGCAGTTTTGAAAGCTCTTTTTTAAAGAAGAGATCTTCTTAACAATCCTTCCTACTAATCAAAACCAAACGGAAATTATAGCACATGAATATGCAAATCCTATAAATAAACACGGAGTAATCAACTTCTGCTACTGACGCACCCTCACACTCGTTTGAATTTATTTTTAACCCATAAATCAGTTTGTAAGAAGTCTTTGAAAAAACATTTTTTAAAACAACTTCGTCACATCATGTATTTATTGACATCGTACACAATTGTGTCCGCACAATGTCACACACACAGTTAAATTATGAATATCTATCTTAGAAATAAAAACATGACCGCTATCTGACGTTCTGAAGAAAGTCATACACGTCGACCATTGTCGAGACCGGTGACAAAAGAAGGTGGGGAAATGCATGATTTCAAGAATATGATTGGCAGATGCTCGGACCAATGACGGGGCTCCTCGTGGTGTCGTAAATTTAGACGTTGTCTCCCTCTAGCGTCAAAGCATAAAAACCACCACATAAACACATCTCGTCAAATTTGGCTTCTCTCTCGAAGAAGAAGAGCACCTCCTTCCAGAGTGTTGAGCAAGCACGGCAGATCTGAAACAGAGTGGATACGCAAGACTCCATGTCATTTTTCTACGTAGCGAAATCGCTCCGACGCGCAAGCAAGAAGGCGAGCTTGCTAGTTAGCTATCTCGCTAGCCAGTCGCAGTCGGGGCAACCGACCTACTTCATAACCTCGCTTACATCATACCTGGGAAGCAGTGGCCCCAACAAGCCGACGCTTTCCATTCCACCCGACCGGTACTGCGATATTAGTATGTCAACATAGGTGGACCTGTCACAGTGAACTATTGAGAATTGAAGCAATTTCTTTTCAAGCAAGGGAGCTGTCAAGACTACAGCTGGTTTCGTCATTCCTCGTGAGTAGAACCAGAAATGGCTTTCAGTGCTGCTGCATTAGTTATTTTTTGCCAAATTGCATAGTTCAGTCATTTTTTTAAAGCTGTCACTGTGCCAGATTTCCTCTCCAGGACAGTAGTTTGATGAGGGACAAACGTGACGCTGGCCCAGGCCTAGCATATGTTAGTTACCTCCTGCTGACATAACCTAGCCTTGCTGCGTTGTTTATGTGTCGATATTTTTGCCTCTTTATTCTAGATGTCCGTATACGACATTTAAGAATAATATCGCAGTCAGTCAGTGTTTTCCACCCACGTTGTTGAAATAACAAACTACGTACATCGCAGTCTTTATTAGCCAGTGACCTGATGTGCTAATGCTAACCGTGACGCTGTAGTTATGAAATGCTTTAGCTTTGCACGCCATGGCATCCGATGACAGCAAAATGTTCATTTAACCACTTTGTGCCTACAAATGTGCTTTCAGGATTTTGACACAAAAAAGGAGTTATGTCCTGCCCATGTAGCTCGGCTGCAAGGTTGTTCCTAAATACAGCTCATCGAGGTAAGGAATGCTGAAGCTGCATGACATTGTTGTTTTGCTAAGTTGGAGGAGGAAAGTAGGTCTCAAGCTAATAACAGAGAGGGCAGTTTGTTTTGACATGTCAAGTGGCCTAAAACGCACTGTATTTTTTGAAGTAACGCGTTTGACACGCAAACCAATTGAAATCAAATGCCACAAGGTAATTTCTATTCTATTTATGATTTGTAGAACGAAACACATTATGACTTTGACGACGTGTGCCCCGTAACGCCACGGGCAGACATTCGTTGCTGCACCGTCATAGTCTAATTCAGTTACCCTACTTTTGGGCCAAGGCCATAGGTTGCTTGAGTAGACCAAAATTGTACTCAAGTAAGATTACTGTTACTTAAGAATAGAAAGACACAAGTAAAAAAAAATAATAATAAAATAAATCCCTCAAATATTTACTTGAGTAAGTCTTCAGAACAATACACTACTCAAATGTTGACCAATTAACAAGTCACACAAGTTTTAAAATGGGCATGAATGTCAAATAAGACCAAAATATAAAATTCAAATGTGCAGTTTCAGATATTGCCCATAAATATAATTTTACCTGAAACCTATCGCTGGCATCAGGCAGAATCCTTGCATTTCTGAAATCAGGCTTGTTGCGCCATTATCGTGGCATCATCAGCATGAGCAAGGCCTTTTCAACACATGCGATTGGTCACTAATTTGTCGAAGTTACACACTCACCTGGGGTCCAGTGAATTGAATTGTAGCAGTTTGGGGAAAAATATGACCTTCAGATTAAATCATTTCTCTTTAGAAAATTGAAACAATGATTTTTCATGGAAGGAAACTAACAGTGGATGAACACACATAATGGCATTTCTTACTGCTTTGGCTGCATGTGAAGCAGCTGGGAGAGTCTGTTTCAATGTAGCTTTTTTCTTTTTTTTAAATCTTTGGCTGGCCATCATGGCTTTCTTTTTTCTTTTTTTTTTTTCTCTTTTTTGTAGATTTTGGAGAAGTTGACTTTTGCCTTTTATTGCACATTTTGAGTCGAAGGGTCTGTTGCTATCTCCACTCTAGGATTGTCCTGCTCACGCTTGCAGTTTTATTCTCTGAGTCGTCATGGTTCAAGGGACACTCATCTACCGCCCCACGTGTGGGTGAGATCATTTTCTGAGACTGCCATCTGCTTTGCCTCCAAGGATGGCACCACAAAGGACACCGGCAGCGATGGTGGAAAGGTAATCTTTTGGAACGCCTTCTCCTATATTATTTGTAATGGCCGTCTCCTCTGTACATGGTTGGTGAGGGTGGTTATGTACCGTACCACAATATCGTGTCTACACAGAAAAGCATCAGTGAGGCGAAGAGGGCCTCGGGTTCCGGAGGATCCGGCAAGGGAGGGAGCCAGCTCCGTTGCCCTAAATGTGGAGACCCCTGCACACATGTGGAGACCTTTGTTTGTGAGTAAACATGGCACTAGTGTAAATCGGCTTGCATGGAGCAAGCCGCTCAGAGAAAGACATTTCTCTAACCCGGTCCGTAAAATAAAGATTGACGCGAGTTTGAATTACACTTGGAATATCTATCGGATTGTGTATTTGCAGTATTTGAGCTCTGCTGTAATTGCATAACCTGTATGCAAGTGATTTCAACTTGTGGCAATGACCTGTTGCTCCATTCCAGCATTCCAGACTTCTTGGAAATAGGATAATTATACTCGGT